TGTATAGATCTGATAAAAAAAGGGTATTTGTACCCACAAATGACGAGAGAGCAACTACAATTAAAAAACAGTTTATTGGGCAAGACTTCATTGAATTTTCTAAAAAACTTCAAAAAGAAAAAGAAAGCAAATCATATAAGAAAATGGTGGTAAAGAGAATAACCAATAATCCTAATAGAGGAAAGGATTGTAATGCTTTAAAATAAAAGTCTATTTTAAATAAAGATGATTTATTTAATAATAAATTTAGTTTTATAAGTTTAATGTCAAAAAAGACATAATAATATGAATTAAACATTCCTTCAAGAAGGAATCTTTAACTTATAGTACTCAAAAATTGTTACAGGATTAAGTTCAAATTACCTAAACTCTATTTAGAATTTTCCTATCACATTTTTTGAGTGTAATATCCAAATATGATCAACAATCATAAATAATAATTGAGTTAACACCTTGTTTGGGTGCAAACCTGGGAAGTGTACTTTTTATATATAAAAATTGCTATTACAATATTATATTTAATGTACTGCCTCACTTTGATTGTATATTAACATCCATGATTGTTGAAAAAATTTGAAACCCTAATATAAGACTTAAACACACAACACTCCACAAACAATCAAATAAAACAAGATTGCATAATGAAGTGTACTAAACAAATAGATATATTTATCTTACGTTTTCATTTGATGCATTGCATTTAAGTTTTATTACAGTTCAATTCAATATAAATCAAACAATAAATTGTGTTCATGAACATTTCTATAATAATAATGACTAAATTCCATGATAAATCTGGCCTTAATTGTCTTCTAAAACATACTAAATAGAAATGACCATATTTTAGTAGTGTTAAAATATGTTAATATAATTGTCCTGGTAGGCCATAACCATTATAGTATATTTTAGATATTCCCCACACTTTATGAAGCAAAAGGCTTCCGTAAAGAATAGAGATACATTGTCTTAAAATATTTACTAATGAATCCATTTTTTAACTATCATATATTTAACAATTTAGTACATAGTACCAATAATATGGTTTATACCATCACACAAGTTGTATAAAATGTAATATAATAAACTTGTGAATTTAATATGTATGTATATTAAATTATCTAAAATGAACATATACATTTTTAACATTGCCGTGTAGTGGCGGTTAAGAATATCCACTACCCCATATCTTCCCGTGGGTGTCGTAAAAGGCGACAAAGGGAAACAGGCAGGAGATGGGCAGCAGCATCTTCCTGATAATAGCCAAAATAACAATAAAAAAACTGCGGTTGCCAACCCGCTCGCCAAGCGTGGCAACTATGGCAATATACCCCCCATGAGCAATGACAATAATAAACGGCCCCCAGTCCCCGGCGGCCCCGCTATTCCTGGCTACGGTGGCGACCATGGTAACGGCGGGGCAGGGGGTGCTAAGAATCTCCGGTGGAGGTTCGGTTGCCACCTACGACGACTCGACCTGGCAACATACAACGCACGTACCCTGAGGACTGACGAGAAGATTGTGGAGCTGGAAGAAGAGATAGACAAGTTACGCTGGCATATTATAGGATTATCCGAAGTCCGAAGAGAGGGGGAGGACACGGTAATCCTCGAATCCGGCAACTTGCTCTATTACCGGGAGGGCGACCATCTGTCCCAAGGAGGTGTCGGATTTATCGTCCACAAGTCTCTCGTTAACAACGTTGTAAAGATTGAGAGTGTGTCGACGAGGGTTGCGTACCTTATACTCAGAATCACCAAACGGTATTCGCTGAAGGTCATACAGGTTTACGCACCAACCTCGGCACACCCCGATCAGGAGGTGGAGGAAATGTATGAGGATATCTCTAGAGCCATGCATTCCTCCAAAACCCAATATACGGTGTTAATGGGAGACTTCAATGCAAAACTGGGCACAAGAGAGAACGGTGAGCTGAAAGTAGGGAAATTTGGAATAGGGCAACGGAACCCAAGGGGCCAGCAGCTGGCCGACTTCATGGAGAAAGAGGGACTCTTTATGATGAACTCTTTCTTCCAGAAGCGGCCCCACAGGAAGTGGACCTGGTCGAGCCCCGACGGTTCGACAAAAAATGAGATTGACTTCATTATGACGACCAGACGACAACTGTTCAGTGATGTCTCAGTGATCGCGAGGGTGAAAACCGGCAGCGATCACCGAATGGTTAGAGGCACACTGAACCTAAACGTTAAGTTGGAGAGGTCTCGTCTAATGAAGTCAACGCTCCGTCCCCCTCGTGCTCTTTTCCAAAGTCCCGAAACCTTTCAGCTCGAGTTACAAAACCGTTTTCAGTGCCTAGAAGACTGCAATGAAGTGGACGATTTGAATGACAAGCTCGTGGAAACTGTCCATGCGGTCGGAGCTAAGTTCTGCAAGACCCGCCGCAGAAGAACACAAAAACTCTCCGATCACACTCTTAATCTCATGGCTGTTAGACGGGAGATGAAGCTACATTCTTCAACAGATTTAACAGCATACAGGCAACTGAACGGACAGATCTCCAAATGCATGCGGCGGGACTTACGCAAATTCAATACAGCTCGTATTGAAGAAGCGATCGAGCGGAACCGAGGCTCCAAAGTCTTTGCCAGAGATCTGTCTGCCAGAAAGCGCCAACTGTCAAAGCTGAAGACAGAATGTGGCAGCATCGTTTCCGGGGCACCTGAGATTTTGAGTGAGATTGAGAGGTTCTATGGGCAGCTGTACACGTCATCGTTGGAGCCGCACGCAAGTGTGAGTAACGATCCAAGAGCGAGTCTTATCCGACATTATTCCGATGATATCCCGGACGTCAGTCTGAGCGAGATTAGAATGGCTCTCCAGCACCTTAAAAACGGCAAGGCCCCAGGCGAGGATGGAATTACAGCGGAGCTTCTGAAAGCGGGTGGAAGACCGGTACTTGAAGTCCTTCAGAAGCTCTTTAATTCCGTCCTCTATGGTGGCATTACACCGGAGGCGTGGAGCAGAAGTGCGGTGGTCTTGTTCTTCAAGAAAGGCGACAACGCTCTCTTGAAGAACTACAGACCGATTTCCCTTCTGAGCCGCGTCTACGTGCTGTTTTCGAGAGTCATTACGAATCGTCTCGCGCGCAGACTTGACGACTTCCAGCCTCCCGAACAAGCCGGTTTCCGAAAAGGCTTTAGCACCATAGACCACATACATACCCTTCGGCAAATTGTGCAGAAGTCCGAGGAGTACAATTTGCCACTATGTCTGGCGTATGTGGACTATGAGAAAGCCTTTGATTCCGTCGAAATTTGGGCGGTGCTGCAGTCCCTTCAGCGATGCCAAGTTGACTGTCGGTATATCGAAGTGTTGAAGTGCTTGTACAGTAGGGCTACGATGGCTATCCGAGTACAGAACCAGAGTACGAAACCTATCCAATTGCAGAGAGGTGTAAGACAGGGTGACGTCATATCCCCGAAACTCTTTACCGCTGCATTGGAAGATGTTTTCAAGCTTCTGGACTGGAAAGGATACGGTATCAACATCAATGGCGAGTACATCACTCACCTTCGATTTGCCGACGATATAGTCCTTATGGCAGAATCGCTGGAGGACCTAAGCACTATGCTCAATGACCTCAATAGTGTTTCCCAACGGATAGGTCTTAAGATGAACATGGACAAAACAAAGATCATGTTTAATGTCCATGTCACACCTATGCCGGTAGTTGTTGGGAACACTAAGCTCGAAGTTGTTGACGAGTATGTTTACCTGGGACAAATAGTCCGACTAGGTAAGTCCAACTTCGACCGAGAGGTCAATCGACGGATTCAACTCGGTTGGGCAGCGTTCGGGAAATTACGGCACATCTTCTCGTCAGGTATACCTCAAAACTTGAAAACGATACTGTACACCCAGTGCGTGTTGCCAGTGATGACATACGGAACTGAGACGTGGTCCTTCACTGCTGGCCGGATGAGGAAGCTCAAGGTCGCTCAGCGAGCTATGGAGAGGGCTATGCTCGGAGTTTCTCTGCGTGATAAACTCAGAAATGAGGATATCCGCAGTAGAACTAGAGTGACCGACATAGCCCAACGGATTAGTAAGCTGAAGTGGCAATGGGCCGGCCATATAGCTCGAAGAACCGACAACCGATGGGGAAGAAAGGTTCTCGAGTGGCAGCCTCGTACCGGCAGGCGAAGTGTAGGGCGTCCCCCCACTAGATGGAGTGACGACCTGGTAAGATATGCAGGAAGTCGATGGATGCAGGTGGCTCAGGACCGTGCTTTGTGGCATTCTTTGGGGGAGGCCTATGTTCAGCAGTGGACTTGTGAAGGGCTGTAATGATGATGAATGATGAACATATACATTTATACTAATAATAAGTTTATATATAATTGGTGTTATTATGATTACAGAAAAAATACTACTGTAAAATAATTTTACTTCTAACATATTATTGGGTCAAAAACGGACCACTGGGAAATATGTAAGGAATGGAGTAAGTATTCCTTATTGCTTCTGAATAAATGTATTTTGAATATCTAACTTTCAAATGATGTAACAATGTGATATAAACTATATAGAAATATATAAACTCCATATGGAAATAATTAATTTAAGTAATTGTGATTTTGTACATCCTTAGAAACTAAACTTAAAACGTAATTATTAAATAGCGACACACACTTCTTAGAAGTGTATGACAAAACAATAAGTTTGAATGTACAGAGCAAATGCTTGCTTGAGAGACAAACATTATTTGTTATATTGCAGCCATTAAAGTCACATTAAGCCGAATGATATGATATATTACAATGAATATTATTTTTCAATCACTATTTTTCTCAAATTTTTAATATTTTTAGTAAAAAGGTTGCTAAATTTCTAAGTTTAAATTTTTTTTAATATGTCTTAATGGTGTGACTTGGCTGCTAAAGAAAAGCCATTGATACAATGAACATATAATCTCTATTTCAAAACGAAATGGAGAATAATTCAAGCATCAACCATTGATCAAAGCATCACTTGCGATAACTCATAGAGGTGAGAGTCGTGGCAATGGCGCCTCGCTCGGTCGGTACCGGTCTAATATTATTGCGCACATTGTCTGCGCGTCTGTTTCTTCGGGATAAGCGGCCATCGCTTCAGCGACTTGGGCCTCGGGGAAAATGCCCGCCAGGTGGAAGTGCATGCGACGCCGCGCTTCCCAATGTTGCAAAGCGCCTTCAGAGGCGCAAGGAGAGAGCGGTAATCCGTTTCCGATCGCCGCAGCAGCTCCCACTGGCGCCGAAGCGACTCTAGCCGCCGTCGTGTGTAGCCTCGGATCACAAGCCGGATTGAGTGTGAGTTGCCTCACCAACTTCCTATGAGGATTTGTGTCCGGTTGTGGCGGTTGCGAGGGGCCGGGTAAGATTTGAGCGCGGTCAAAGTGTGTTGCTAGTGTCGCATCCGGCAACCGAGGTGCAGCGGAGTGCGCCCGCGCCAACGGGCGTTTATTGTCCGCCGGCCGACCGCTCGGCGGTAAGCTGAGCGTGTGTAAATCGCGTGCTTTCAGCGCCCGAGCCGCCCGTTCGGATAGTTTCTCCGCAACTGGTTTATGTGGACGACCAGCGCGTTCTGGATGGTGAAATTTACATTTATTGCCGTACGTGCACTTTCGACCGTAGGGACAAGCGGGTGGAGGATCGGTTTTTGATGGGGGTGCGCGTAGGAATGCATCTAAAGTTGGCCCCGATCGGCCAAGAGGATCGTCTGGCGGCATGAAGCGATCGTTTACAAACGAGAACATGAGGAGGCGTTCTTCGACGACTTTCCGAAATTCTGGACTTTCGGCGGCAAGGTCTCTATAGTTGTCGTTGGAGACGACTATGCCATCTGTTTCGGCGGCGAGACGCAATATATATCTATCATCGTAGCAGATAAGACGTTTACCGCCGAGGAGTCTACTCGGTGTGTACACTAATACTCTTTCTCTTTCGAGTCGATCGAGAGCGTCTCTGTCAGCTACGGGGTTGTCGGGTCTTGAAGCTTCTTTGCGCCACTTCGGTACGAACACGGTTATCTCCTTGTGGCCTCGCGCTCGGAACCAATCGACGCATATCTCGATACCGCGGCATGAGAATATTTCCTTATTGCCATGACTGAAAGGAAAAGATTGGTTAATTAAAAAAAATTATAACATGGTTTTATCAGTGGTAGAGCCACGCGGCAGCTTTTCCTGTCGCACAGATGGGCCGGCTCGAACCGGAGTGGTACCACGACCTCACAGAAAACCAGCGTGAAGTAGAGGTTTACCTCTGCGTTTCGCTTGGTGAGTGCAGGTGGCCGGAGGCCCTTTTTACTGGAAATGAGGCATTCCATCTTGGTCCTCACGGGTGACAACGCATCTACATTTTGATTTGTAATGGAGGATAGATGTAGAAGTCTATGGGCCGCAGCAACCACTTACCATCAGGTGGACTGTGTGCTCGTTTGTCACCCTTATCCTATAAAAAAGGGTTCGTTTCATTTCAATTAATTTGAACATATAATATGTTCGGTAAACATTTCATTAATTGTTTGATCACAGCCTATCCAAATTCCTCTGCTGAACATAGGCCTCCCCATTGACTATTTATCATAGGTGCTACGCATTATTATTTAATGTTGTAATTACAAAGATGCTGCTGCCCATCTGTTTTACTTTCCTCTATTGCCTCTTACGACACCCACGGTATGATATGGGGTAGTAGATTTTTGTTTTTATATTGCCCATCGCCGTCACTACACGGCTTTAGGCAATAACTTTGCAATTTGTTCAAGTATGTGACGGATTAATATTGTTAACAAATAAAATAAATCATTAATAAAGACAATGGTGCAATGCGGAATTAATATTCAATTACAAATTAAAATATCAAAAACTGTAGACTTGATGCACTTGTACTTATTATACATTTGTTAATTCAGAAATATTATGATAGCCAAGGTGCCGAATATACCACGTAATGTAAAAAACAGCTTTAATAATTTTTCGATTCCGATCTTTATCGATTGATTTTTATGTATTGATACGATTGTTATTTTGAATCGATACATGATACTGACCCATTCAGACGTTTTTCCGTTAAAAATTACACAGTAACTAATGAATTGTAATTTAACTGAATGGAAATAAAGAGGCAACGTAGAAGTGTTTATTTGTTCACCTTTAACATGTACCTACTTTTGAAAGCATGTGTTACTTTTAAATATTCTTACGTAAAGGTATTACAAAAGGCAGTTACCTCATAGCAACGTTGCTGCCGTCGATGACGATGTGTCGCAAGGGCGCGCGGTCAGGCGGCGGGTCGGGCTCGACGGGCGGTGGTGGTGATCTCGCACGCGGCGGTTGTTTAGCCGCTAATTTGATTAGCTCCGCCAACAACTCATTTCGCGGCGGGTCGGGACCGAGCCGCTGTAGAGCTGTTCGCGCCAAACGCTCCGAGTAACCCAGTTTTACCGCGAAATCGATCTTTGCCTATGAAAGAATATAAATTATTTCAAAGATGATATTAATTTGAATACATAATGGTTGATAGTAAAATATTTTTTACAATATGATATATTATGTACTAAATTCCACAAAACTATAAATTGTGGGTACCTATAAAGTTGATAACTTTCTAAAGTATTTGGCAGTTTTGCCATATGATCTTTACAATAGAGATGCGATTTCTTATATATGAGTTACGACATATAAAGAGAGAATAATATACCAGTTTTACATTGGAAAAAAATAACTTTAAATAAAAAATAAATAATTTCAACATTACAGCTTCAGAAGTCGTAGTGTACAGAAGAATTAAATCCCCATCTCCCGAAGTTGTTATGTGAAAATTATTTTTTTCTTTTTAGTTCTTTAAAGTCTAACTTTAGCTTTAACCTTTAATTAAAACTAGGTTTTACGTATTTTATCGCGTATATTAACTTTTTTATATTCCCGACATTTCGAGCACTTATACAGCACCCATGGTCATGGGGTGAGGTGTTCGACGTCCGAACCATTGCTACCTCCAGATTAAAATTTTTGGTCCGATCTACGCAGTATGAACTTATAGTATCTTAAAATCTTGCAGTTGTAAGCATGGGTTGGGATTCAATTTAATAATTTTTTTTATTTACCTTTTTGAGTAGACTAAAGGCGCCTGGCTACTGACCTGCCTGCCGCAAGGGCAATCTAGGGAGCACAGCGATCGGAGCAATATCGGAGCTGTCTCTACACACACGCCTGCCGTTCAGTATGAGAGTGTACGTCTCGCTGGACGCACGCGTTGAGAATAGCGCCAGTTTTATCGAAATATCAATGAATCGGTATATATAACTACTTATTTATTCTGTGATATAGCCTTGGCTCTTTTTTATATAGAATAAGGGTGACAAATGAGCACAGTCCACCTGATGGTACGTGGACACTGTGGCCCATAGACACCCACATTTATCAATAAAACAACTAATTAATTAATAATTATAACTATAATATAGTGCTTATAAGCTGCAGCATAGCTCTGCCACGCTATTTTTAGGCTATCAAAGACAATTAAATATGACTAACTTCACTCGTCATAATTTAGTATAACCAATTTATTCTGTGATATAACTTAACTAACTAGTGTTTAGTAACTATAATTTAACTAGTGTTACAAATAGCCAGGATAGTATTTTAATGATGGTTTTAATAAAATTTAATTACTAAAATTTGTATTTTTGTTTAATTATTTAGTTAATGACATTTTATTTATATTCCAGCAATTTTAATACTATTGGAATATTTTCTTTCCCATACTAGCCCTTATGCTAAGTTAGGTAAAAAATCCTAGTAATGTTACTTGTAAGTTACAACGTTCAAATAACGTTCTTTCTGTGGGTCTGACTTGTACTTATACGTGTGCTCCGCGCGAAAGTCGCAACGAACTGATTGAAATTGCTCCAATTGGGCTACACACGCGATAGCGGCAGGGCCAATCTAGGAAACAAGGAAGGTATTGCGCTCCTGCCGCCCTGCCGCAGGGCCGACTTAAAAAATTGCCCCTGCTTGCCTACACACATTACAATTAAGGGTCATCCCCACTCCTACACCCTAGATTGCCCCTGCGGCAGGCATGTCAATAGGCGACTTAAAGGAATATAACAAGACCCTGCCCCCCAAGGTCACAACTAGAATGGCGTCTAAATAGTTACACTTAAAATTTCATCACCTATTTTCCCACCCTTAATAGTTAGTGAACTTATTGCCAAAATTTATAAGGCACCATCTCTGAAGAGCCCAAGATGAAACAACCAGAATAGCGTCTAGTTACACTTAAAATGTTTTCCACAATTTTCGCACACTTAGGGTGTCAATTTTACTGTCCATATTTATATGGGACCCATGATCTATCAAATAAAAAGCAATAATCATTAAAATCGGTTCTCAATTAACGAAGATGCAGCGATGGAGCGAATTTTATAGAGAAATGTATGCGTGTGATGATCTTAGTGAGGGATCCGGGGATGACGCCGTGACTGGTACGCCAGACCCGGATCTCGATGACATCAGTGTCATCCCTGTCACGTGGGTCACGTTCAATCTCTTTCATACTGATGACCTCAGGTCATCAGTATGAAAGAGATTGAACGTGCGATTCGAAGTTTGAAATGTGGTAAGGCTGCGGGACTAGACAGAGTTACTGCTGAAATGGTCAAGTATGGTGGGCCTCGCGTCTGGGACAGCTTTCATCTGCTGTGCAATTTGTGCTGGCGGACGGGGGATGTCCCGGATGATTGGCGATCCGCAATCATTGTGCCTTTATATAAAGGTAAAGGTTCACATTTTTGACTGCGGGTGCTATCGGGCGATCAGCTTGACCAGTTTAGCAAGTAAAGTTTACTCGAAAGTTTTGACACGTAGGATGCAAGAGAAATCGGAAAATTTTCTATGGGAGGCACAATGCGGATTTAGACCTGCAAGAGGATGCATGGGTCAAATGTTTTCTCTCCGCATGATCACGGAAAAGCTTCTGGCTGCTAACCAGAAGATTTTCTGTGCTTTTGTGGATCTTGAGAAAGCATTTGATAAGGTTGTAAGGAAGAAAATGTGGGAACTGTTGCCGGGGTATGGTGTGGATGGTCGATTGCTAAGGGCTGTGCAGTCACTTTACTGTGACTGTAAAGCCTGTGTGCGGGTAGGGCATGACCTGTCACCCATGTTTAGCGTCCAAACGGGCGTAAAACAGGGTTGTGTCATGTCTTCCTGGCTGTTCATACTGTATCTCGACAGCTGTTTACAAAAGCTGAAAGATAGCTGTTTGGGTGTGAAATTGGGTGATATTAAAGTAAATTGTCTGCTGTATGCTGATGATGCAGTGCTTATTGCACCATCAGAGGCAGAACTGCAGGCATTAGTCACGTGTATGAAAGAGGAATGTGAAATTAAAGGTCTCCGTTTGAACGCTAATAAAACTAAGGTTCTGTATTTGAAAGGGACGAAGAGAGAACGAAGTGTGAAATATGGGTAAATCAGGAATGTCTAGAACAAGTAAATGAAATTGTATACTTGGGGAGTGCTTTTAGCCGGGATAGAAGATGTAATTTAGATGTGGACCGGCGTGTCGCTGCCGGGAACAAAGTCAATGGTGACCTGACTGCGTTAGTCAAAAGGCAAGGCGTAGTGAAGAGTGCACGCCTTGCAATACATAACGCAGTGTTGGTACCGACTTTGTTATATGGCAGCGAAACCTGGGTATGCCAGAAGAAGCATAAAAGCAAGTTGAATGCAGTGGAGATGCAATCTCTTCGTAAAATGTGCGGCGTTACCATGGCCGACCGAAAGCGAAACGAAGAGATTCGCAATATGGCAGGTTTGAAAGATGACCTTATCACAAAAATTGATAAGGGCGTGCTTCGGTGGTTTGGGCACGTTGAGCGAATGAGTGAAGACCGAATGGTGAAGAAAATATATAGCGTGAAAGTTAATATTAAAAGGTGTCGAGGTAGACCGAGACTAACTTTCGAAGACCATGTGAGCAAATTACTCGAAGAGGGTAGGGTCAAGAGTACTCGGATACCTAGACGTGCATGTATGAAGAAGATAATGAATCTGAAAGAAGCGAAAGAGGTATGTAAGGATCGTGACGCTTGGCGATCTGTTCTCTCTGGCTACCCCGTCAGGGATTGTGCGTGAAGATAAGTAAGTAAGTAATTAACGAAGATATAGCGTAACATGCATATAAATAACTTAAAACCAACAAAAGGCGCTGATGATCTTCAAACGGCTGAACAGTTTCTTGAAACATAGCTAAGAATACTCTGTATTAAGATAACTTTCAAACTAAAAAAAAACTTAATCAAAATCGGTCCGTCCCTTCAGGGGCTATGACGTCACAGACTGACACACATACACACTACAAACTTATAACACCCCTCTGTTTTCGTCGGGGGTTAAAAAAGATCATACATTCGGATTGAGAACCTTCTTCTTTTTGGAAGTCTGCTAAATATACCATTTTCCTTTGAGAGTGTGAAACGCAGAGCTATTTTTCCAAATGTTACTGATAGACTGAGATAGAATGTACTGCGATCGAGTAATGGCAGTAAATTCATCTATGAATCCTAATTTCGCAGATTGTTATTGAAGAGTGGTGAACGAATTGGGCCACTCATCAACCTCTGTCTGTGGGTGAGTATGAAAAAAACGTGTTTAAGTAATGCTTGTAAGCTTGCGCATTGTTGTAAAGGCCTAAGTCTAGCAATGGACTTCGTAGCTGTAGTTATTATCTAGTGTGTGTTGTTTGTAGTTATTTTAGCTATCTCTTAAAACTGCTACTCATTTTTGTTATCTATGTATATTTCTAACGCCAACTCTACGTATATACGTTAAACATTGACGATTGCACTGCGCTCAGTGACGCACGTTACGTATTTTGTTGATATTAGAGTGCGTCAATTTTACACGGGGTCGGAGCATAAGAAACTCGCTAATATAATTCTCAACTAATGTGCTTGGAGTGCAGATATAAAAGCAATAATATTGACCTACATTGTATCTGGCATTGAAACTGTTTTTTTACTTCGACAAGGTTAACATATAATTGTTCGCGATTATGTCAATTATGACGTAAGTATACTAGACATATAAGCTTAAAAATCAATGCGTTAAACAAACACAAAAAAAAATCATATTATAGTAGATTATTATTGAGCTTAAACTTTGAAAGTTCCAATTTAAAATGTCCGTAATTTGCATACAATTAATCGTTTGTGATAAGAGCGCTTCATAACTTTCTCCGTTTAATTAACAATTTATTAAAATGTACTTATGAACATGTTATAAAAATAATAATGTTCTCCAGACCGAATTTCGTCATGGCGAAATCGAAATCGAATCACGGCGGCCAATCTCAACGGAGGCTAGCCATCTGCAATTGATGCAGGACTATAAGAAAGTGTGCGCAAGCTCAGGTGCACTCTCTACGTAAGACGGAAATCCGATACGACCAGAGAGAGAGAGAGAGAGAGAGAGAGAGAGAGAGAGAGAGAGAGATCAGGCGCAGAGACAACAGTTTTACGTGCTTTCTGAGGCGCGGATATAAATCACCGCCAACTTCCTGACAACAGGCTGCTACTGAGAATTTGTTGTCAGAACAACCGAATATCAGGGTTTTCGGTCCGCGAACTTTACTGTACTTAATGATTTCTTATATTTACGCGAACACTACACATTGAATAAAACTAGGTACTTTTACGGACTTCATCGCGTTTATTTATAATTACTTTTACCTACTTACATATGTTTATGCGACCGATCGAATGATACGAAACGTGGGGAATTTAACAATAAATATAATTAAACGCGATAAAATCCGTAAGTGGTTTTATTCAATTTAGTGGGCCTATTAAGTAGATCGTTTAGTTTGGTTCGGTTCGTTTCGAGACCACATGATCACAGTCGCACTTACGACCACTTAACCAACGTGACAGTCAATATAATACAATATACAATAACTACATATGTACAGTACATATGTACAAAAAATATTTTTTTTTAAAACTTTACCCCACACTAGGATTTTCTCCTGTGTCGTGGAGGCAGTTTACAAACATACATTGCACAAGGACAAACATTCAGACCCGGAACAATTATTTTTAGGCCATACAAATACTTGTTCCGTACGGGATTCGAACCCGCGGCCCCCAGGGCAACAACTGATTGCTAAGCCACTGCGCCACGGAGCCGTCACGGATAGTTCGAGCCTTTGCGGCTGGAATTAATCCGTCTATCCACCATTTCAAATCACTGCAAAAATCGCGATAAGATGCAAAGCATGCTTGGCGGTCCAACAATGTGCGATTTACCTAAAATTATATTCCTAGCACAACTTCTTTATGGAATCGGTATAATAACCTTTGTAATAAAAGTACACACTAACTTTAGATTAAATTGTTAAAACTGGTTATAACGAGAAACAGCACGATACCATGTCATCTGCGTGTCCTATACGCTAAATTAATTTAAAAAAACGCGCCATTAAAATTTAACAGCTGGATACACAAACAATTGGATTTGCATATTATGAGAATTTGAGGCCACGGACCGAAAGGAATTAAAAAGAAAGCAAATGTTTTTTAAATTGTTGTATTAGCTTTACGGAGAAGAATATAATTGTTTTTTTTTGTATTTACCTGGTTCGGCTGTGGCGGCGCTGCTAACGTCACATACTCGGCAAATTCAGCGGCGAGTGTGTCGGATGGAGTGCGCGAAGCAGCCCGATGGCTGCCATCATCGTCGCACTCCGAGTCGTAGCTGGAGTCTTCGCCGCGCTCACCGGCCCAGCCCAGCGAAGACTCGACATATTTCTAAAAAAAAAAATAAACAACATAAATTGTTAGAATTTAAAAACAGAATAATGGGTACCTTTGGTAACAGATCGAAGTTCGATTCTTAAAAAAACTACACACTTGATTTAGGTAAAATTTTAATCAGGCATTCGTTATGGAAAGCGACGAACGTATATACACCCAAACATCATCAAAACGTGTGGTATGTTGAAATTTGAACGCAAGTATTGAACATATCGCAACAACTTCCAAGTAGGAAATTAAATACAATTTGAAGATCGAGTAACTGTTGTTGAACGAATCCCGTGGGTTTTGAACTTTTGAGTCTTGCCAAAGATTTGCTTAAAATGCGGTTAAAGGAAGAGAACCATCATTACATTACTTGTAATAAATATACAGTATTCCCTATTTCGCTATATAGCATAGATTATTTAATAAGTATAGTAAATTATTACAATCTTACAGAATACGGACGTAAAGCAGCAGTATTTATTATTTCTGCGTTTTCCTGGTAAACAAGGTCCAACCCTCCGACCCAAAACATAGTAGCGGTATTGAATAACAGACTACTTCAGGAAGATACTAGCACCCATGGTAATGGAGAATCCCTTACTGAGGCATCCACGTCCAAGCTACCCTACTCTTCCTGAGCGTGGGTGCTCAGGCTTACTACAAGCCTATTCATGCTGGTGTTTAACAAGGTTGCGTGCTATCACCTACGTTGTTTTTTCTGCATATAAATGATATGTTGCAAACCAGTAACATCCATTGTTATGCACTCGTGTTGCTTTTTAACCGGCTGTGCAAATATTTCTCGAGTTTTCTAGTGCCGGAACAAACTTGTGTCAAAAGTCTAAGATTGGGGACGAGGGACGACTCACTATAGTGCAGTTTAACCCTCAAAAGACATAGGTTTGAGTTTTTCCCGCTAAAATTATCCCCTTTGTTGTATTTCGTCAAATATACAAGACGCAAGTTCAACGTCAGATATAATTCTGTTCTCCTTCTCATCTCGGAGTCGGTGCAGCCCAGTGCCAGCTCCTTCCACTTGACCGTGTTCAGCGAAGAGCAGCCCAAATCGTCGACAACCGAGTTCTTTCTAATCACTCGATTAAGTGATTATGCGAAGAGATGTTGCATCACTTTGTGTTTTCTATCACGTTTAGCACAGGGAGTGCTCAGAGCAATTGTTTTACGGATAGTTCGAGCCTTTGCCGCTGGAATTAATCCGTCTATCCACCATTTCAAATCGCTGCAAAAATCGCGATAAGATGCAAAGCATGCTTGGCGTTCCAACAATGTGCGATTTACCTAAAATTATATTCCTAGCACGACTTCTTTATGGAATCGGTACGACTATACGACTGATACGACCTACGAAGTAAAGAGTATTTCCTTTTTTTAAAGTCTGAAACGCACCTGCAATTCTCCTGGTTGCAGTTGTTCATTAAGACTTCGTTGCGACTGTAGTCACTTACAGATGAGTCACATGCTCATTTGCCTGCTGATATAAATTAATTTTCATAAAATGACAATATCACTAGCGATCCCCGCCCTGGCTTCGCACGGGTGATTTCTGTATCTAGATAATAGCGCCACCTACCAGGTCCAATTGTGAATCTAAATCACCAATGAACCCACTCAAACACACAAAAAAATTATCAAAATTGGTGGAATTACGAGTTTAAAAATATAAAGATGAAAATCTTTTGTAAATAAACTGTTGGATGCATTTGAATTTTAATAACCATTATTATATTTATCTATAGTCATTCAGACAATAATCTTGTAGTTATCTGTTCGAAAGACCTCGGGGTTAAGTAAATGAAAAACTCAAGAAATAGTACCCAACAATACGTGTAATAACAACGTAATTTATACATTGTAATTTTGACCTACAACTTGGTGTATTAATAAAATGTAAACATAGCGAACACAGGAATAAGACAATCGTACATTAAGTTAGTATATAACGTGCAGTATTTTTTTATATTATAAATAGCTAATCCCCGCGGCTTCGCCCGCGTGGAATATATTACGATTTGTTACCCTGTGAACCCTGATTATTTTTCTAATATAAAAGTTACTCCTTATAACATCAGCTATATGCTAGTCAAAAATAATTTTGTAGGGCGCGCGTTGAGACAACCATCCGCAATAGCTCGTTCGCGTGTTTTCAAAACACTGTTATGAGCCCGCGCGACAGGTAGCCTTTGTAATAATGTCTTTCGGTGCGGCCATGGAGGTGGCGTTCGCGTGGGGCGCGCACGGTACTGGGCATTATTATATCTTACTAGCTGTTCCCCGCGACTTCGCCCGCGTGTTATTTGGGATTTTGATTTGTTTGCGCGGAACCCTAATTCTTTTTCAAAACTAAAAGTACCCTAAGTTACTCCTTGTGACATCAGCTATCTGCCAGTGAAAATCTTGTCAAAATCGGTCCAGCCGTTTCGGAGATTAACCGGAACAAACAGACAGACAAAAATTTTAAAAATGTCTTTTTCTTTATAAGCACCGTATATACTTCCCTATGCATTAAGTAAAAAGCTGTTATTTTGATATTACAAACAGACACTCCAATTTTATTTATTTATATAGATTGATTTAAATAGCGTCAGACCCGGCTGAAATATAATTTTGGAATACTTTTTAGAGAAATTTTTAATAGACTAAAAATAGAATATAAGGGTGACAAACGAGCACACAGTCCACCTGATGGTAAGTGAATGCTGTGGCCCATAGACATCTACATATCGCCTCTTTGCTTCAATAACGTGATAAGTCCGAAAATTTCTTTTTTTTATTAATTGATAATTGTAACCGCCGTGGCCGATTTTATTTTTCCAAAAAACGTGGTATCTTTTGTGCGTGTATTAGCGAACTTATGAGTGAAAGAGACAGCGCAACTGTGTCAGATCACGATATCACGTTGTCTCTTTCTGCGAGGAGATTTGTTTCAACAACGAAACAAAACAGTTGTCACTACGCATGTGTAGAGGAATGTGCTCTCAAATTTCAGCGAAAACGTGACATCACGAAGATATCACGTTTTGGTTGCAAAGGTATGTTTTAATTCAATGATTATTTTTTATTTTATAATGTGATATGTGGGTTTAACACAGTGTTGTTGAAAAAATGTGTGATGTGTTAATTGCTTTAAATGCTCATGTCACACTGTTGCCGAAAGAATAAGAATTTTGCTTTGTGTTATCTTAAGATACAACATTGTTTATGATGAAACTTTTTCCAATATAAAAACTAAGTTATAGTTATCGGCTAATGTTCCGTTATTGAACAAAAACAAATGAATTAAAACAGTAATATTCCTAAATATTTCGTTGTTAATGCTAAAACAAATAACTATTTGTACTTTAGATAAGGACGCAACGTTAAGCCCAGGGGATGCAAGGTCGAACATAGAGGAAGCAACGTTAAATGTGGATAACACACCAAATAAAGAAGTTGACTTATCAGTATCCAATAGCCATTATTTTGATTCGACCAGCAGCAGCAGGGTGAGTTCTTCGAGTGACTCATCATCATCATCAAGCAGCTCATCAATTACATCGTTTAATGAAGGTAAGTTCCACTTTTGTTTCAATTTTTTTAGGTAATTTACTTAATCTTATTTATATTCCAACCGTAATACATTTTGTATACAGATAGCGACGATTCAGTTAAAGATCCAAACTATGAAGTTGTGGAGCCTCGGCGTCTTTATCGAAATTCTTCAGATTCTGACGGAGAACTTGTTAATGTTAACACAAGAAAACAAGATGGTATTTTACAAGAAACTGTTATTTGTACACCTACAGAAGGCCACGAAATGATTCTTAACAGCGTTTTACAAGAATCAGATGCACTTCCGATACTAAATGAACTATCAAATATTGAAAATGTCAGCCCCACTGAACAAAACTAACAAAATACAAATTGTAGTCCGAACAAAAAAGTTAAAAAAAGACGAAGACAAGAAGGAAGCTGGAAGAAAAACATAGCGAAGAAACTGAGAAATAGCGGTAAGTCTTATCAATTAATAAAAACAAAAAGAAGGTAAACTGAGACCACCTTGCAGAGAAAATTGCGTATTCAAATGTCGTTTAAATATCACAGATGACTAACATCAACAACTTGTAAAAGAATTCTGGAACTTGGGCGACATTGAAAAACAGTGGTCATTTATCGCAAATAGTGTCGAAGCAGTCATCCCAAAACATCGATATGTGAAGGTAGATTCAGATGGAAACGTTGCACCAACTCGCGACAACAATAATGCTTTCTATTTTACCGTTTCTGAAATAAAAATAGGAGTGTGTAAAGTATTTTTCAAAAACACTTTGGCAATTAATAACCGGCCAATAGAAACGGCGTTAAAGAAGAAAAATAAAGATTGCAACATTTCTTCTATGAAAGATAATCGGGGACATCATGCAAATCGATATAAAGTGGATGAGAACATAAAGAATGGTGTAAAAACATTTATTGAAGCAATACCGAAAATTGAATCCCATTATGTAAGAGCTAACTCAAGAAGACATTACATCGATAGCAGCAAAGCTATCACCGATCTCCATAGAGGCTATGTTGCTGAATGTAAGTCAAAAAATGTACCGTTCGCCAATTACTTAATGTTTTACCGTATATTTACGCAAGATTACAACATATCATTCTTTGTCCCTAAAAAGATTTATGTGATGTATGCGAAGCTTACAAAAACAGCACTGATGAAGAGAAAGAACGATTAAAAGAAAGCTACGAAACACATCAAAATGAAAAATTTCTCTCACGTGCAGAGAAGGAGAACGATAAAAAGAATAGTGAAATTCTCGTTGCTGTGTACGACCTTCAAGCGGTTTTCCAATGTCCCAAAGGGGACATTTCTGTCTTATATTATAAGTCTAAATTGAATGTCCTTAATCTAACTATATACAACATTCAGAGTAACTGTGTTGAAAGCTATGTTTGGGACGAGTCAAATGCTCACAGAGGTGTAAACGAAATCGGTACTTGCGTTTACAAATACCTCGTCAAAATTTCAGAAAAAGTCAAAAATCTAGACGTTGTATTCTATTCGGATAACTGTGCGGGCCAACAGAAAAATAAATTTATGATTTGCATGTATCTATACGCAGTAAAGACAATAACAAACCTTAATTCAGTCACTCATAATATTTAATAAAAGGACATACCCAGAATTAGAGAGAGAAATTAAGCGGCAATTACGATCTGGGCCAATGTATACACCTGACGCATTTATTGGTGCTATAAAGGCTGCCCGGAAGAAAAGTGAGCCCTTTCACGAACGAAATGTGCTTCGCAGATTTCTATGATTGGAAAATCTTAACTAATCAAATGAACTTTTCGTTGCTAAAAGATGAAAATAATGATTCAGTTAAACTAACGGGTTTAAAAGTGATTAGAGTTCAAAAAAGCGATCCTGAAGCTGTATTTTTTAAGGATTCATATGCTGATAAACAATTTAAAAAAGCTATTGTTATTAAAAAGAAAAGGGACATCTCAAATTAGGAATTAAAAAATGCATATAACCAAAAACTTGGGATATCTGATAAGAAACGAGCAGACCTAATGGATTTGGTTAACAAAAATCTTATCCCCAGATATCACAAGCCATTTTATGAATGTCTGTAGCTTTGAGAACAGCGGGTTTTTTAAATACAGGCTGAAATAAAGGCTGATATTAATACTTACGCCAAAATAATACAAAGACTGATACATAATTTAAGATAAGTTGTGTTGATCATTGTGAGAGGCTATAATTATAAGTAAAACTGTGAATTTGTATTGGTTAATAAGCTAGTATAGCTAGCTAGAGTTAATACTCCAAGTGCCATTAGTTATATTATAATTATTTATAGTTGATTATTTTTAATTTGAGTATGTTTTCTTCTTGATTTGTCTAAGACAAGTTAGTTATAAATGTTTAATTCTTGTAATTGTATTTTGTTTGCAAATGCAAACTCTTGGAGTGGAATAACAAATCCGTTTGTCACGAGATTTTAAGCTTTATTGAATAATCAAAGTCTACCTAAAAATATACCTAAACCTAATAATAATATTACTCAATGATTTCGAGCCCTTTCCGATCGGCTCGATTCATTGGCACTGCGAAGAGATGTTGCATCTCTTTGCATTTTCTTTCGCATCTACCACGGGGAGTGCTCTGAGGAATTGTTCGGATTAATCCCAGCCGCCAAATTTCATGAACGCACATCGCGGCAGAACTCCCGATACCATCCACATCATCTGGATGATTGGCGGTCCACCACTGTGCGATTTAGAAGATGTTTTCTTCCTCGCACGACTTCCTTGTGGAATCGATTACCATCAGCGATTTTTCCGGACCGATACGACTTAGGGACCTTCAAGAAAAGAGCCTACTCCTTTTTAAAAGGCCGGCAACGCATCTGCAATTCCCCTGGTGTTGCGGTTGTTCATGGGCGGCGGTAGTCACTTACCATCAGGTGAGCCGCATGCTCGTTTGCCCCCTCTCCTATAAAAAAAAAATTAAAGTCTGATTGTTCATAAGGATTCATTATTTTATTTTAATTTTAAACTAATACTTTTTCTCCAGTAAAATGTGATTCCCGTTAAGTAATGAACAATAAAAATTGTGATTATTCGTTATGTCAGTCTGATTTTTTAAAATATTGTTATATAAAAATAAGTGTAGTTTGTAATTGCACTTTTTCCAATAAAGATTGGTTTTGAAACCTAAAGGTTTTTATTTCAACAATGTTTGTTCATGCAACTATGCAACGTAATTTCTTGAAAATTTGCACCAAAGAACCGATAATAATATTATATGGACTGAAAAGTTCGTATCGTTTCTATGAGATGGCGCCACTAGAATAAAATCCATATAATTTTTAGTTAGTACCAACCTTCAAAAGAAACGTATAAATTTGACAGTTGTATGATTATTAGTTTGTGAGATTGCTTCAGCGCTACCAGAGACTGGCATGTATGGCTGCCACAGGCTGCATGAGAACTACGCCAACAGCAGCCTTAGAAGCGATGCTGGAGCTAACTCCGCTTCATCTACATATACAACAAGAAGCGACTTTAGCTGCCATCAGACTCAAGACCCTAAATCTTTGGAGTAAGAATAGTGTCCCTCATACAGGCATAATTGATAGAATTCACTCAAAAATTCCTATCCTACAAGCCAAATACGATAGGATTCCTAAACAATTTGTTTTCGATAAGAAATACAAGATACAGTTAAATGAAAACAGCCAGCCGGAAGGATTAAGCCCAAAAGAGCTTAGAATTTTCACCGATGGTTCTAAAACAAATGAAGGTGTAGGTTCTGGAGCTTTCTCTGAAGACCTCAATATTCACATATGCACACCGCTGGGTACCTATAACACGGTCTTTCAGGCGGAATGTATGGGTATCATTCAAGCGGCCATAGCAATAGATGCTAGGAAGGTTAATGACTTCCCCATCAGAATACTGACCGACAGTAGGGCGGTACTCCAAGCCCTGAGATGCAATGTGGTGAACTCGGGACTAATATATGAATGCCATCAACGATTAAATGAGGTATGTAAAAACAACAATGTGACCCTGCAATGGATAAAGGGACACAGTGGATCCAGAGGCAACGATGCAGCAGACGAACTGGCTAGAAGAGGATCGGCTTTGGCCACTATAGGGCCGGAACCAATCATACCAATCCCCTTTGGTAACGTTTGTTCACTGGTACGTAGACACTTCACTAATCAACACGCTCAGCTTTGGAAAAATCTAGTAGACTGTAGACAAGCTAGGGATGCCCTGCCTGAAATTAACAGTCGCTTAACAAAAGTTTTAATGAGACTGAACAAGCCGCAGATTAGGATAGTAACAAGTGCTATCACAGGACACGGCACCTTTAACAAACATTTATTTACTATAGGTGTTACAGATAGTCCCCTGTGCAGGGCATGTATGGAGGAGGAAGAAACGGCGGCCCACGTGCTACTAAAATGTCCGGAGGTCGCTACATACAGGGCTAAACATCTCGGCACGCCGGGATCACTCCCCGAAGTTGCATGCAACATCAAGGGCCTGTTGAGCTTCTTCGGAGAGATCTCATGGCTCGAATAATCACATTATTCCTGCCCACACGCAAAATACGCGCATAGACGTGGAGTTGCGGAAAACAGCCCGTCGTAAACTAAACTAAACTAAACTAGTTTGTGAGATACAGCATTTTGAGTGAAGCAACTTTTGTTGTTTTGAAAAAAATGGATAAAAGGAATTTCATGTTAATGCCAAACTATTTTTTGATGAAAAAAGTGCTGCGAAGCAACCATTCGTAAGTGGTTTGCTAAATTCCGTACATGCCATATAGGCACCGAAGACCATGAACGCAGTGGACGTCCAAAAGAGGCTGTTACGGATGAAAACATCAAAAAAAATCGACAAAATGATTTTAGAAAATCGTAAATTGAGATTGATTTGTATAGCTGACACTCTAAAGATAGATATCAAAGGAACGTGTTGGACATATCGTTCATGAATATTTGGGTATGCAAAAGCTATGTGCAAAGTGGGTGCCGCGCGAGCTCACAATCAACCAAAAACAAGAAGGTGTCGATGCTTCAGAGCAATGTTTAATGCTATTCAACCGCAATAGAAGTGTATTTTTGCGTTGATATGTGACAATCGATGAAACATGGATCCACCACTACACTCCGAAGTCCAGTCGGCAGTCATCTCAGTGGACTGCACGCGATGAACCGAATCCAAAGCGTGGAAAAACTCAACAGTCGGCCGGTAAGGTTATCGCGTCCGTATTTTGGAGTGCACATGGAATAATTTTCATTGCCTATCTTGGAAAGGGAAAAACCATCAACAACGACTATTATATAGCGTTATTGGAGCGTTTGAAGGACGAAATTGCGAAAAACGGCG